AAAGAATATTGAAAGAAAAAAATCTGAGGATCAAGGTCCCCTCCAGCCGTTACTCCTTCGCTGATGATGAGGGGAGTATAATGAATGCATATCCCTCTTTTTCCCATCACTTGATTTAGCACTTTAATTATCTGATTTTCCTTTCTCTTTCTTTTCACTCTTTTTTTTTTATCAGAACGTAACGCTTTTATTCAGCAAATCCAAATGTTCAATTTTCCGCCTGGGAGTGGGACCCATTTATCTGTGTAATCTGTAAGCGTGCATGTGTGTGTGTGTGTGTGTGTGTGTGTGTGTGTAGCTACATGTAGGTGTTTATGCATATGGGTATGTGTGCGCGTTTGCTAAATGTGTTTAAAAAGCAGGAGTCAGAGAGCAGTGTGTGTGAAATTAATTTAGATTAATAGACAACGTGCGATTATGAAGATTTGAGAGACACCCAAACACAATCCACTGCAGGGCAAAGTGAGGAAGAGGAGGGGGGACAGGAAGACAGGATCCTGGCTTTATTTGTAGATATTCATCAAATAAAAAGTAATAATGTTTTATTCATAGCTGCGATGGATATATTCCTTCAGTTTGTAACATGGTTATAAATTACAAATGAACATCTAAAACTTGCTAATGTGAACAAAGATTTTATGTTCATTTAAATCAAAATGTGATTTAATAAACATAACAACAGCAATGCCTCGTTTTTATTTTCTTGACTGCTTATTTAACCAAGTTCCTTGCAGCTTGCAAAAGGAATTTGCACCTTGTCAGTGTTGCCACAAACTCTCAAAACCAGTAATAATGCAACTTCATCATTTCAGTTGATTGTAATTTAGTGCTGCATGTTCAAAAACAGATTTACACTAATTCAGTTCGCATAAATAACTGGCTCTCTCTTAATATATATAGTACTATGCAGCCCCTGAAGGTCTGGGTCCCTCGGGTAGTTGCCCACTTTGCCTGATTGATAATTCTGCCTTAATGTAAACTTCATGAACATAAATGCTCTATTTACAGTCACGATCTCCAATTGCCAAACAATTCGGCGCTTGAAACAGCAGTGTTGTTTCAGGTCCTAATTTAGGAGGGAACTGTGTTACTACACCTTGCTCCAGTTATATTGTTGCACTTTAAGTTAGAAAAAACCCCTGTACTGTAAACTCTGCTACAGTCATAAATAATTGAAGGTCCCGCTAAAGGTTTTAGATGTTACATTACTTAAGATGCTGAAAAATTGCAATGTCCCCAGTTTGAGTCTGCAGTAATGCTGCACATTATCCTCCCTCATGGTGTCTCCCTTTTGTCCATCAGCCCTCCACTGTACATTTGACAAATAGGGCGCAAAGTACTTTAAGAGATGTATTAACTCCAACCATCACACAAACACCAATATAAAATCCATCTGTTCTTATTAAGCAGAAAATTGACAAAACAAAAATAGCCTCTCTATTTTCAGATATCTTGATTAAAGCATGTCCAGAATTTCAGTCTGTTTCACTGTACAAAACACAGTACATAGTCTCCAGTCCTGAGAGATTCATACAAAATGTCTCTTCTGCAAAATTTGCTTTGACAGTCTGAGACAGGATTTTATAGCGACGACCTACCTAAGTTGTGAGCTGACACTGAGCCAGTTTGGCCAGGCTGCTGCTGCACCTT